CATATCAAGGCTTACTTTAAAATCATATTACAAGCTAATTATACACTAATTACAACTAGGTAAATTAAACTTAATGCCAAGAAAATAAACAAATAAAGTTCTCAAAACTTATTCAAATATTCACTATTTAATATATATGATAGAACATGTCAAGCTCATCAATAATATCAAGTCAAAATCCGATTAAGTGCTTGGAACACTTAAAGTAAAATTAATTAATCTACTTAATTAATTTTCTCTAGATTTTAAAACAACTTCGAATATTCTCAAATTCATCTATGTTAAAAAACATACCAATGCCTAATATTACATTACAAGTTGATTCCATACTAATTACAACCATAAGAATTAAATTTTCATTCAAATGAAAGATTAAATAAAAGTTGCAATACTTATTCAAATCCTCCTAATTTAATATATGTTAACAAGCATATCAAGGCCTAATTTAATAGCATGCCACAATTTAATTCCAAGCTATATACAGTCATGAGAATTAAATCTTATCCACAGAAAATAATTAAATTAAATTCTAGAATTAATACAAAGGCATGTTTACAAGTTGTATATGCTTAGAAAGCAATCAATACAACATAAATATAAACCTAAAATATCCCCTACCTCATTTTATGATGAAATCACAAATCCCCATCGAAACAAAAATGCTTTGAATTTGATGATACTCCTAGGTTATGTTGGGGACTATGAGGGAAACAACTTTAATCTTTTAGGCACCATGAAAATCCAAATCCAAACTTAAAACCTGAACTCAAAAATGGTCGGAATCGGCTTCTAATAAGGGGGAAAGGTCCGCCTTGACCCCTTGGGCTTCCATGGCAACTGTTGAACATGGGAGAAGAAGAGAAAATAAAATGTTTTATTTTTCTTGACCCCCTATCTATAGTAAAACCGTAAAAGTGCTCCGAAAGGGCCCTGCCGGGTTCGGAAAAGTGAAATTTGAGAAGACGCGCTCAAACGGCAAAATACCATGAACAAAAAAGAACTGAAATGAAAAAGAAAATGAACAATGGAAGAAACAACGTCGAAAACCGAGTCCCGTGTAGAGAGATATGCCCCGAACAAGTTTGGCGCAAACTGGGGTCGAAAATCCGAAAACTGCAAGGAATGACAAACAGCCAATCCTAAGAGTTCACGACTCGACGAAATGTGAAAATGAATCCCGTACGACGATCCAAGCTCAAAACGAGGCATTTTGTAATAACTTTCGTTAATTGCTCAATGGCCCCTACAAAAAGGGATAACTGCAAAACTGCCCAAAATAAAGATATTTTCTTAAAAACCACTGAAATAAATATCTTCAAAAGATATTTATGAAAAACACCCCAAGAAACATCAATGTTTCTGAAGAATCATTTTATCCATGCCCCTACGGGAGAAAGAAACAACCGGCGAAATTGTCTCCAAAAGTAAAGCTACGCCTTTCGAGGAAATCAACTGGAATGAAAACTCGTGAAGTCAAAACTCAACTCCAAACATGAAAAGTGAGGTTATGCTAACAAAGTGACAAACGGGGAAAAGGACGAAAAGTGAATAGTGTCGAAAAACAAAAAATGTGGAAATGACGCGGTCCTTTAAGGAAGTTGTCAATCCAAAGGAAAGAGTCTCAAAAACCATTTCTGAGCACTCGAGATGACACTAAATGATGAGTAACTGAACTCAGAAAAGAAAAATCAACGGAAAAAATTTATCCGTAAAAATTTAAGAAAAAAGGAAAGGAAGGAAAATGACCTGGTCATTACACCTCTTTTGTGAGAATGAGCTTAATGTTTGTGGGTATCATTTTTGAAAACCCTCACGAGACTTCACTCGTCCACTAGGGGTAACCTAGGGGTCTAAAAGGCTTGTTGCATATGCTAAATGCAATCGTGTTCCCTACGAAAGTGGAGTTATCCATTTATTGTTTTCTAGTTCATAGCTGTTTAGTTGTTCCTTTCTTTCTTTACTTCGTAGTTCATTGCTAGGGACTAGTAATATTTAAGTTTGGGGATGTGATAAGCGTTAAAAAGTGCTCATTTAAACCCCTTAATCTTGAATGTTCTAGGACCTTATTTTATCTTATTTTTCTGTTTTAATACTAATTTATGTTTTTGTTTATTTTTAGGTCAATAAGGTTCAAACAGGCTAATTTCGGTCCATTAAGGCCTTTTTGGAGTCAAACTAAGTCTTGGTGAGAAGCCGGAACAAAAGAAAGTTGTTGCTGAAAACTGCCTAGTTAGATCGATCACACTGTGAACGATCGAACCTAGAATGATCACACTATACCTGTGATCGATCACACCATACCTCTGAATGATCACAAAGTTGGTTGGATCGATCAAACTGTTCACAGAAGTTATAAAAAAGCAGATTTAAAGCTCATTCGGAACTAACTCGAGCTGTGCGTGAAAGGGGAGATCCTAGGGCCGAGTTCTCATATTTTTGGGCTCTAAAAGCCTTGTATATAAGAGGGATTGAATCATTTTTGTAGAGAGATTCATATTTTTACATTGTAATTTCTGTATTGTTGTAGTTTCTCTCTCTAGAAAGTTAGAGATTAGGGTTAGAAGAAAAGAAGGAAGTGGAGGCATAACTCAAGAACACATTTCTAGATCCACATACTCTCTATCTCTAGAGCTTCAAAGAAGAAGAAGATAAAGAGGAAGAAGAAGATGGAGCCATGTTTGGAGCTTACCTTTGAGGGCTTCATGACCATATCCACCTCCTCCATGATTGGCTAGGTCTACACTTAGGGCTTGGATGAGCCCTAAGTCTTGTGTAATCTAAACCCTTGTATTTATACTTTTGGGGATTTATATATATTGTTGTGATTAGTGGTTAGCCTTGTGATGGTTGATTTAATTATTCCTTATGATTCTCTATTTTAATTACATGTTGTCTCATGTGTAATTATTTGGGAATTAATCTCTACACTAGATTCTCTATGTTGGTTGCATGTCTGTGTGTGGTTAATTAATGATTTAGTGATGGCTAAACATGGTTTTCATTGAATGGGTTTGTCAATTAATTTGATGGCATGGATTATACTTATGTTTGATGGGTTGCTCTACAATTTAATTCATGTTTGTAAGTAGGTAAACAATCTATTCTTGATTTGATACTTCACACTTATTATTGCAAATTCCATGATTCTCTATATTGATGTGTGCTCTCATTAGATACATTTGTTAATTAATTGATGGATTATGCCTTGTCTTGGTGGGTTATTCTACATTTAGTTTACTTGTTGGTTAGGTAGATAATTCACTCTTGCATTAGATAGTTCACACTTTTACATGCAAATTGTGTTTATGTTTGTGGCCATATCTAGATTGCAATAATGTATTCCCCATTAATGGAAAGCAAGTGGTTAATTACATGAGCTTGGTGGTGATTCCAACACCCTAAGACCTCTCTTCATATCTCTTAAATCCCTATCTCTCACTAGTTTACTTTAATTGCATTTTAATTTCATTGCACCTTAGTGTAATCAACCAACCAACCCTTCTTTGTAATCTTTTGATACGCTAGAGTCGAAGCTAAAATTCCAACACGTATAATACCTGCGGACAATCCCTACTCGCTATACTTCATTAGTTGTAGTAGTGGTTTTATAAATGTAAATTTGAGTAGAAAGGCTTCCTAAACCACAATCATATTTTGACCTTGCGAAGCGACCTCTCGCATCACAAAGTTCTTTTTCTAAACATATAGGAAAGGGGCTCGTCAAGTTTTGGCGCCGTTTGTCATATTTTGGGTATCAATTAGGAATTAGTACTCTTTTGATCTTGTCTTTATTTTATTTCTTTTTGGTTACTTATTGTGTTTGTTCTTGATTGGCTAGGTGCATTGAGCAAGGGAAGTGAAGCAAAGGATTCCAAGGCAAAAGAGCAAGCTAAGCTAAGCTAAGCAAAAGTATAAAAAGCTAAAAATATAAACAATTTGCAAAGCAAAGCAAGGTAAAGAAAAAATTGAAAAATAATTTGAAATTGCTTAAGGACCCTTTGTAAGCTTTTCTAACTCTCTCTCTAGTTAAATCATCGACCCGCATGGTGGAAAGTTTTAATTTCTTAGATAAATCGTGAGCCCGCGTGTAGGCAATTTACTTTTCTTGCATATTGTTGAAAGCATGGGAGTATGGGATCAATGTATGTGGAGGTTTGTTGATTGATTTGTTGCGGAGGAGAAATGCTTGCTATTTGCTTGCTATTGACTTGTTGTTTGTTTTGATTGTGCATGTATGGTCGAAAATCATTGTATCCTACTCTTATCCCGTTTAATTTAAATCTTGAATCCATTGTTCGTAATCCCAGGGGAATGAGTAATTCTGGTAACTCCATTTCATCAATGGAGGAACAATATCAGGACCATGTGGAAGACCTTGGTCACATCGACTAATAAGGCATCTTTCACCCTAATGTACACCAATATTATGACCTTATTTAAGTACCATTAGGCATGCCAAGACCCTTCATTCCACAACAACAAGGCCATGTTCCAATGGGAATGCCTTGGCCAAATTTCGTTCCACCTCCACCTCCTATTGTTCAAGGAAACCATGGTGCTCATGTAGCGCCACTAGTTGTGAATCTCCCTCTTGCTTTAAGAGATCATTATGTGCCAAATGAGTATAATGCACCAACATGCATTGAATTACCTCCATTTAGAGTACACCATTATGAGATTAAACCACAAACAATTCAAATGTTTCCCAATTCCCATGGGCTACCAAGTGAAGAACTGTACAAGAATTTGGACGAGTTTCTTGAATTATGTTCCACCGTGAAATACACGGACATGCCGGAAGAGGTTTTGAGGTTAAAACTTGTTCCACCATGAAATACACGGACATGCCGGAAGAGGTTTTGTGGTTAAAACTCTTCTCTTTCACCTTTAAAGATAAAACAAAATATTGGTTCAACAATTTAAGGCCTTTTTCGATAACTTCTTGGGTAGAAATGCAACAAGAGTTCTTGAAAAAGTACTATCTAGTTTCAAAGACCAATGCAATGAGAACTTAAATTCGAGAATTTTCTTAAGGGGAAGGGGAAATGTTTCATGAGGCATGGGAGCGCTTAAATGACTTGCTTAGAAAGTGTCCACATCATGACATTCCTAAATGGCAATTGGTTCAATTTTTCTTTGAAAGTTTGTTGGGCAATTTTAAAGGAATGGTAGATGCTTCTATGGGTGGTTCTTATCTTGATAGGCATGAAGATGATGTATGGCATTTGTATGAGAGCATGAATGAGAATTCTATGCATTGATCTTTATCTTCCAAAAATGGTAGGAATTTAGGTGGAAGGAAGAATGTTGGCTTGTATCTAGCTGACCATTCAAATGATATAGCCGCCGAAGTGAAGTTTTTATCCCAAAGGTTTGATCAACCAAAATGCGGCGAATCAAGTGTCTTCCTCCCCTAGTCATACTCATCATACTTCCAATGAATATTGCATGACTTGTTCTTGTGTTTTACATTCTACTTCCAATTGTCCCATGGATATGTGCAAAGTGAACATCATGAACAAGTGAATGCCGCTTTTGTCAACCAATGGAATAATCCCTATGGCACTAATTATAATGCTGGGTGGATGAACCATCCAAACTTCTCTTGGAAAAGCCAAGAGTAAGGCTCAAACCCTCCCCAAAGTGGTTTTCAAGGCAAGTATGTTCCGCCCCCAACGCAAAGTCAGGGTTCCCAAGGCTACCGCTTATCTTACCAAACACCACATGGAAACCAATTTTCAAACTCTCACTTTCCAAATCAATCTTCATATTCTCAAGGGAATTCAAGAAGTCCCGCATTTGAGGAGAAATTCTTAACCACTTTGGGTACTTTAGAGGCAAATACCTAATTACTTCATTCCCATTCCCAATCAATTGCAAAGCTAGAAACCCAAGTTGGGCAAATAGCTAGTACCTTGAATGCTAAGGGAAAAGGGAAAATGCCTTTGAATCCACCACCTAAGCAACAATTTGTTGTGGAGACCAATTCATTTTCGGAAGGTCACACAATTGAACATATGAATGCGGTGACCACCTTGAGAAGTGGAAGAGTTGTTGATAATCAAGTTGGTGTTCAAAATGAAGATAGTGAACCGATGCAACCAAAAGTTAACACCCGTCCCACCTCGCATTATATTCCTCATTCATTGCATGTGAAAGAACCATTTGTTGAGAAAGATTTAAAAGATGATTTTGAAAAAGTTTTTGAACCCAAGGATCCATTTCTGGATGCCTTAAAAGGATCCATTTCTCTTGAAAGGTAACAAAGAAAGGCAAATGATATAATTGATGTGTTTAGGCAAGTGATGATCAATCTCCCTTTCATGGATGCAATTAGACAAATTTTGGCTTATGCCAAATTTTTGAATGATCTTTGCACCCTTAAGAGGAAGAATAAGAGCCAAGCACCAAAAAGAGTTGTTTTGACTGAGCAAGTAAGCTCAATTTTGCAACACAACACCCTTCAAAATTCAAAGACCCCAGTTCACCTACCACTTCTTGCATTATTGGTAATCATGTCATTAACCGGGCTCTTATCGATTTAGGAGCAAGTGTGAGTCTTCTTAAATATTCAGTTTATGTTCAATTGGGCTTAGAAGATTTAAAACCAACGTTAGTAATTTTACAACTAGCTGACCGATCCATTAAAAAACCCTGGGGTATTATTAAGGATATATTGATTAAAATTGATAAGTTCTTCTTCCCGGTTGATTTCGTTGTCATTGACACGGAACCGGTCAGAAATCCCAAGAGCCAAATTCCCATTATCCTTGGTCGTCCCTTCTTGGCAACCGCTAATGCCAACATTAATTATAGGACGGGGATAATGAAAATTTCATTTGGCCACGAGAAGGTGAAGTTGAACATTTTCAATCCAAACCCCAATTCTATGCACAAGTATGAAGAAGTATGTGTTGTTGAAAAATGTCTTGGAAATGAATTTACCAAAAATGAGTCTTTGCTTGATGTTAAAACTTCAAATAGTTTATTTTCTAAAAGGATTTTAAAAGATGTTGTGTTTAAACCAAGTGTCGAAAGGGCATGGAAGCCCAAGAATTTTGTTAATAAAGGGCCATTAATTTCATTTGAACCAAATCCAACAAGTTCCTTAGGGAATAGTTTGTTAGGTGGGGTTCGAAAGTCCATTCACCCCATTAAGGAGGGGATGCATACTAAGATTTTTGATCCGGGCTAAAAGAGCCCAACATCTTGCTAGAGACGTTAAACACTAGTGCTTCGTAGGGTTTCCAACCCTATTCCTCCCTCATGTCTATTTTATTTTCTTGCATCGTCTAGATACAATCTGGGATTATATATGTTGGTTGAGACTTTGATAGGGAATACATGTGCTTTCATCTCTAAATTAGGCATTTGGTGCTTGTTCGATTGATCACAAGAGATATTCGATTGATCGAACATCATCTCTGCATATTCTCATCTCTCTATTCCATCATTCGAAGATGCTCTGCATATTTCATCTCTTTGTCTATTGTTCAAACTCATTCTTCGATCATTCCAAGTTTCCTCGATCAATCCAGTTATCCCTTCGATCGATCTCAATTCCATACTTAGAAAAATTTTTAATCTCTGAAAAAATCATCTTTCTGTCTATCGTTCGAATGTGTGTACAGGTTTTCACATCTTGGATCGATCGATCAATCATTATCCGATCGATCAGAGTTCCTTGTTTTTTTCCTTCCGTTAACTTTGACTTTTTAAAATTCAAATTTCAAAATTTAAATTTAATAAAAAAAAAAACTCAAAAAAAAAAAAAAACTCAAAAACAAATCAAAAATTATTTTAAATTTTCAAAATTCAAAAATGTCCAAAAATATTTTGTTGTTTTGTAGGTTCGATCGATCTGAGCACCTTCATGATTGATCCAGGTTCGATCGATCTGATAAGCCATGTGATCGATCACACATGTAGGGAACAATTTTTAAAAAATGACCCAAGGGACATTTGGATCGTTCACTTCATCGATCCGAAGCCCTTCTTTCTCCCCCGAAGCTCTCCAATCATCTTCCCCATCTCCGGTGAGATTCCAGCAATCTCCAAGTTCCATCTCCAATCTCATCTCCCTTCTCTCTTCATCTCTCTTCTCTGATTTTGGTAAGTTCAAGTTCCTTTCTTAATTTTGATGTTGATTCATGTGTTATCTCGTTGCCATGCTTAGATTCAAGCTCCCCATGTTGATTTTGTTTCCATTTTTAAAATTGTGGGCATGTTTATATATGTGTATATATCATTTTTATTTCTGAATTTGGTTCGGGGGTCACGTGTTGTTTTAAGTGACCATTTGTGCACGCATTATTAAGGTGTATGTGGGGTCACGAGCCTTGAAGTGACCAATGGGATTCACCCGTGCCTTCTACGTCACGAATCAGTGACTTTTCATTTCTCAGCAGGTTTGATTGATCACACCAGTGCACTAATCGATCATGGCACGATCGATCCAATGTATGACATGATCGATCCAACATAGATCGATCACATTTTTCCATGATCGTTTGAACTTCACTGTTTTGCATATTGATGCTCATATACCCTCTCTTGTGTCCATGCTATTATACTTATGCCCAATGCCTGTGTTTTCCACATTGGTTGCATTATTTTCCTGTTATGTCTAGCATGTTTCACATTATTTGATCATTCACTGTCTATACTTGGCTGCATTACCACTTGCATAGATAGGTTCATGTGCTTATATTCTGAGTTGTCTATTTTAATCTGACAAACATGTTTTTATCTGTTGTGCTTTCATTTTTGTATCTCGTATACTATTTCCTGTTACTGACTACAATTGCAAGTGTTCTTTCTTTTTGCAGGCCATGACTAGGTTCAAAACCACGACTAACTGGACATATGACCGCCGAGTGCGGCAACGGATAGAGGAGCCTGAGGAACCAGCTCCTGCTCAATCCGAGCATTCTTCTTCTTCCTCTTCTTCATCTCAGGAGGGTGAGCCTATGCCACCTCCTTCACCTGCTCCAATGCCACCACCGGCACAGCCTGGCATTGCCCGAGACAGGGTCACTTAGAAGTTTGTGCGCCATTCAGTGGTGCATGAGTCTATATTTGATGAGGACTTCCTTGTACGGTTGATCACGACCAAGTGGTCGTATGACGAGATCTACCGCCGCCATTTTTCTCCCATCTTGGCCCCAGTGGCCAATCCAGTTTACCCGAGGCTTGTTCAACTGTTTTACCAGAACCTCAGGCCAGCCCCGAGTAACCTGGCCAAGCTACAGACTACCATCGACGGGCATCTTATCCGCATCACTGTCGAGACACTGTTGACATCATCTCAGTGCCCACATGCCTGCCCTCCAGCATAGATTACCTGATTTTGCAGAGGTCGTCATTTGTAGATATGGCCACAGCTCTTCATGGTACCATTACTACCGCCGACACTTATGCCACTAGGACTTACTTGCCTGACAGTATATGGTTCTTTGATTCGGTTTTATTCCGAAATGTTTATATAGCAGGGCACAAGATCCAGAGACGGACAAATTTTCTTACAGCTCTATATGCCCTCTATACAGGGCATTGGTTTTTAGTTCCTACACTTTGGAGTGTCATGATGAAGCTGTATATTGATTACATTAGCAAGAATAACCCAAAGCGGCCCAAGTTCCTCCCATTTGCACATTTGATTACACAGATCCTCCGCGACTAGCACTATCCATTTGACCCGGAGGAGGACATTGAGACTGGGGCTTGCCATTACGGCAAGAAGGACTAGAATAAGAGCTACAATGCTCTTATTAAGAGTTTAGAGGTAGAAGTAGCCCAGGCGGCAGAAGATGCGGCAGCAGAGGAAGAGGAGGCAACAGCAGCAGCAGATACAGCAACAGAGGCAGCCCAGGTGGCGGAGGATGCAGCAGCAGAGGAAGAGGAGGCAATAGTAGTAACAGAGGCACCGGCTGTAGAGAGAGCTTTCATGGACATTAATCTAGAACAGGAGCCTCCAGTGGGGTCGCCACATCACTCTCCGGAACAAAGCCATCATTCCCAGAGCCAGGACGAGCATCAGTCTTTTCATGACTCCAGATTGCCCAGTCAGGATGATCCAGTCATTCCTGACACTCAGGCTCAAACAGA